AGGCTAACTCAAACAGCTTAAAACTGTCTGAAAGATATTTGCATTTCCTCCAAAAGAGGAAAACATCTTAAAGTTCTAGAAGAATAGCCAAGACTCGTTTATTACTGGCTGGAAATATTGAGAGCTGCAACCGAACCTAGCTGAGGGATATCAAATTAAGGAAAATTTATTTAAGAAAACATAGAGGTAGCATTACATGAGGGCTGTCAAACTGCCGGCCCAAGAGCCGGAGGCATCACATGCTGGCCACGCCCATGCCCGGTTTAGTGAAGGGGGAAAAAGTCTCAATACATCATGTGATGTCATCGTGACGCCATGAGTTTGACACCCCTGCATTAGATAATTTAGCTAGGTTCTACATGACAGCAAATACATACTGTATAGGGTGAATTCGTAAAATGAAATTTGGGGAGGAAAACACTGCAAAACTCCAGTTATGAAAGGGAATAGAGGTAAAAGATAGCATTTTCTCAACATAAAAATAATTAGAACAATTTTTTTTTAGAAAATAACTCATAAAAAGCATTTTTGCTTATTTTAGAATTTAGAAGCATTTTAGAAGCATTTTGCTGAATAATGATGCAGTCAGAAATCAATATGCAAATCATACAATAGGTAAAAATCTGCTCCACATTTACTTATCTAAAAGTCAGAAGACGTATCCCTCTGCATAAAGTGCATGCAATGTTAACGGCAAGATGTCTCTGGAGATTCTCAGTCATCCAGGTCATGGTTGTCTCAAAGGTGCTTTTTCAAAAGTCAACTGGACTTTTACAAAGTCCACTTGCTTTTTTCAAAAGGCACCTTTGTGTTAACTGCAAGACATTCCTGCCATAATATATTAGATTGCTGTTCCACAGTATTGGCACACTTTTAAAGCTATTGGTTGCACCCAGAGGCACAGAAACAGCATTCCCAATAACATTATATCAAAGGGACCCAGAAGTACTTTACTAAAGTTATCCAGTTTATCCAACCCAGTTTACTACAATTATCCTGATTCAACCATAGCCCCGTTACCCAATAGTACCCATATTTAGATAAGCTTAAATAAGTTAAGGTAAAGGTAAAGGTTCCCCTCGTACATACATGCTAGTCGTTCCCAACTCTAGGGGGCAGTGCTCATCTCCGTTTCAAAGACGAAGAGCCAGCACTGTCCGAAGATGTCTCCGTGGTCATGTGGCCGGCATGATTAAATGCCAAAGGCACACGGAATGCTATTACCTTCCCACAAAAGATGGTCCCTATTTTTCTACTTGCATTTTTTACGTGCTTTCGAACTGCTAGGTTGGCAGAAACTGGGACAAGTAATGGAAGCTCACCCCATTATGCAGCACTAGGGATTCAAACCACTGAACTGCCGACCTTCCTGATCGACAAGCTCAGCATCTTAGCCACTGAGCCACCATGTCCCCGAATTAAATAAGTTATGATTGGTCAAAAGCAACAAAAGTGTCTTTCTTTGGGCTTGGAAAAAAACTGTACCATACTTATGGGAGAAGTGAAAAGTAATCAGTTTACTCCTTTCCATTGCTCTCCAGTTTAAATTCCAACAGTACCAACTCCCCGTTTATCCAGTTTTATTTCTTCTGAAATTAGTTTTCTAAACCCAGCCATATTTGTTAAAGCAAAATAAACAAATTTAAACATGGCAATAAATTAAGCAGTATCTGAAAAATCTCTCTTGCCCCTTTCCTGAGACAGGATAATAATAAATTCTATGTGTGAGTTGAAAAAGAGTTTTGAATTAAAAAAAAAACAAACAAACCCTGAAGTAAATGCCCTGGGTCAACAGAAATGTTTCTAGTTTATGGGGTGATAAACAAAGTTGAATTTTCCTTGGTAAATAATGCAGTTTATCTCTATAACTTGGATGCACATACGTTCAGTATAATTATATTTCAGGGTAAATTACAGTTTTGTGACAATTCCATAGAGAACTTCTAATATAAATAAACCACAAGGACACTTATTTATTATGGAAACAGTCTGCTCCTGCAATTGGATTTCATGTAGAGTTAGGCATGGTTCTGCTCAGTAATTTCTTCAAGTTTTTGTACATTAAAAGTTGTATATAATTATAGTATTGAAATGCAACCAGCTTGGAGATTCAGTGGGGATTAAACATGCATAGGTTCAGATGGCTTCATATCTTTAGCTTCGTCTAACAGGTGGCGAGTTGGCCTTTAAAAATATATATTCTCAGAAAGTCAAACATTCAACAGGTATTCTTTTCTGAAAAGAAATCAATACTTTCTCAACACTTTTTCTTTCTTTCTTTCTTTCTTTTTCTCTGCAATTCTTAAGAAGCCTCTTTATGTATAGCAGGGTAAACTCTTTCCCATCAAATGAAGTGAAGCAAGATGTCTCCAGGGAGATGAACCCTGGTTTTCTTAGCAGATAAATCTTTCAAGGTGTTAATTTGGATGTGGAAAACTTAATTTTTTTTCCTCTCTGGCTCTTTTTGAATGATAAATGAATCACAAATGTCAACTACATTTTAGCCTAAGATTTTGGGTAAATCTAGTCTTTGTATTTATAAAATTATAAATTGGGTTGAATAAAGCATGACTAATTTAACCCTGAATGACTATGTTTATAAATGTAGCCTCTGTTTGTCATAGTCAACTAAATGAGATAACTCTGATAATTAATTATTGATTAGATTAACATGGGATTAAACTGGGATTTAAAAGTTAAATAATCACATTTGGCTGGATTCATATAGGACGGGCAAAAACTGTGGCTGACCAATCACAATTGCTGAGTTCATACAATATTCTAAGATACAGATTTATTACATTGTAATTTAGTATGACATGTGAATCCAATTACTCTGTAGCTGTTTAAATAATTCAGTGTTTATTTAACTGGGTTTGCTGAACAAACTACATTGAATTTATATAATACAAATACAAACAAGCAAGCCACATTTAGCTTAGTATGCTCTACAATTTTAGTTTTTATTTTATAGCCTAACATACATATTTATGAAAGTATAAGATTGGTCATATTATGGATTCCCAAATTATTAAAGTGAATTGTTACCTTGATTTATAAATATCAGTAGAGATCATTTTTTTCCTCAGACCAAAGATGAAATGATCATCTGCTCATGTTTTAAACTAAACAAACAAAAACATCTTTCAAAAGATCTCCCTGTTTAATTTATAAAACTGGAAATTTTTAGAAAGGTTATGGATATTACGGATTCCTTGTGTTCATGGAAACACAGTTCTGTTTAAGCCTCACCTGTAAGATTCTTTTCTGAATAGCAAAAAGTTTCTGTTGATAAAAGGAGTGCAGTAATGGAAATTTGAATCACATTATAAAATCCTATCCTTTAAAGAACCTAATAGTAAATATCACAGATTTAGTGCAATAAAATTCCAGCTAAATATGATTTGAATTCCAGAATTAATGCTTTGAAAATGAGTTGGATTACAATGATAGAAATACAGTGCAGCTCTTTTCTGAATTTCTTTATAACTGACTTTAAGATATGTACAAGAAGAAAAGTAAAATAGATGAAAGAAGACCAGAATCCCAAATATTCCAAAAACATTTCCTGAATACTGTAGCTGTATATTTGTGATAGAATGGAGTGGAAGACAGGGTACCTTTCCCAAAGTATATTTCACTTCTCCTTTACTCCTGTAGAAAAGCTTTTGGATCAGATGCAAGTCAGAGAAAAGAGGAAGTAAAGAGAGGGATGTCATTGGGAAAGTAAAATTAAAAATTCAGCAAAGGAAGAGGAGATTCTGGTTTTATTCCAGTTTGTTATCCCTTTTTTCATCAAAAGATACTCCGTCTGCTAACTAATAGGCCAAAGCTAATTCTTCAAGGAATTATAATTAGGTTGGTTTTTTAAAATGTTAAATGAAAGAAATAGGAATCCAAAATAATTTTTGTTACAGTTTGTTCCCACCGCCACCATACTTTGAAATCAAAAGAACATATAACCTAACCTCGGTTTCTCTGATTCTGTAAAGTTCAGCAGATATTTTTGTATATAGTGTCTAGGAGAAAACATGAAAGCTTGTCATACAGTCATTAACTGATTAGCTAGGAAAAAAATAACTCCTGAGACCACTTCAAAGAGCATTGGTCATGATCAATAGCCTTTACTTTAAGTATTATTGCTACCCCGCACTAATTATGCATTTTAATTAATGCTGCTGACAAAAATAATTTGATTCCATTTGCTTCCAATATTTTTCCCCAAATATGCTTCCTGAGATATTCATTCATTTACTTACTGCGTATTCTTCTGAACGCCTCTGCATGTTCATTCATATCTATTTTTTTTTTTAATTTGATTTATATGCCGCCCTTCTCCGGAGACTCAGGGCGGCTTACAATGTGCTAAGCAATAGCCTTCATACTTTTGTATATTTATACAGCTTATTGCCCCCACAACTGGGTCCTCAATTTACCTACCTTAGAAAGGATGGAAGGCTGAGTCAACCTTGAGCCTGGCGAGATTCGAACCTGCAGTAATTGCAGGCAGCTGGTCTTAATAACAGGGTGCTTTAGACCACTGTACTACCAAGGCTCCTTACTGAATACTGATGAGATATCTAGATAATATTTCACCCAGTGGAAGAGTACTGTGTCTAAGACAGAAACTGGAAATATTCCACAGTATACGTCTCTCCGTATAGGTGTAGTTCCATTAAGGAACTGTTGGCTTCTGGTTATAATGTTGCTTACCTCCAGATGTTCATAGTTTCATTGCTCATTCATCTTTCCCAGGATCTTACCAGGAATTGATATCAGGCTGATTATTTCTGGAGCTATTTTTTCCCCTTTTTTGAAGATGGGAACCACATCAGCTCTTTTCCAGTCTTCTGATGGTTCCCCAGTGCTCCAGGATCTTTGAAAGATATGGTTCAGTGGTTCTGAGATCACATCTGCCAGCCCCTTCAGAACTTATATATTCCTATAAGAGTTGTTAAAGAATACTGATTCTGTCCTTGTGCATAGGAATATGAAATTGTGTGCTTACTTCAGCAGTACATATACTAAAATAGGAATGATATAGAGAAGATTAGCATGTCCCTTGCTCAAGGATAACATGCAAATTCATGAAGCATTCCATATTTTTAAATATAAAAATACATGAAATTGGATTGATAATCTAAACAATAGTTTTGTAAAATATCCCATCCTTATATGCACATGGATTCCTCAGCATGCCTATTTGGATGTTTTACTGAATTAATTGGATGATATTCGGTGACTTTAGATTGTAAATATTCTTCTTAATTCACATGATCTTCTAATAAATGGACTCTGGGAGATGTGGCTAACATCTACTTCCATAGAAGCATATGGTACATACTTGCTCAGCAAGCATCAGGGGATGAGAACTGTGTTAATTTATGATAGCCAAAAATCAGGAGTCTGATAGCACTTGTTCAGATTAACAAATTTTATTAGCTTTTGCCTCCTGATGTTATGTCTCTGGATGTTTTTCCTACAAGATAAGTCTCCAAACTTAAATGCAAAATATTTCCTGTTTTAGAAGCAAATTTATCTGAAAGATAAATAACTTTGGGATAATCAACTGAAATGTTTTATAATAAGGAAACATTACTGGGATATCAGCAGCTCTATTTGATAGGACAGCATGCTGTCAGTGAAAATTGGATAAAAGAGTACATTATAATTAAAACACAAGGAGTTAAGCATTACAGATTCATCATATGAGTTAGGTCTTTGCATAATATGTCCAAAATATGATAATTTGAGCCTAGTCATTTGTGCCTCAAGTGAGAGCTCTGAAATGATTCATTCTAGGATGCATTTGTTTGTTTTCTTGGCAATCCCTGATATTCTCAGGAGCATTTTCCAAAGAACACCAGAGTTCAAAAGCATGAATATTCTTTCTATCCTCTTTCTTCACAGTTCAACTTTTACATCCCTAGAGTATCAAGGGAAAAAGATTGCCTACACAATTCTGATCTTTATATGTATAGACACATCACAGCTCCTGAATATCTTCACCACTACTCTACCAAGTGCTAATTTTTGGTATATTTTTTGACCGCTGCTTTTTTTAACCTTTGATAGTCTTAAAAGGCAGAAGCTATCCACCACTTCTATGTTGTTATTGTATATTCTAAGGCTGGCTACTATTACATGTTGTCATGACTGCATGTTATATTTAATCTTAATAGAGTTTCAAAGATAATAAGCTAAAGGTAAAGGTTCCCCTTGCACATATGTGCTAGTCGTTCCCGACTCTAGGGGGTGGGGCTTATCTCCGTTTCAAAGCCGAAGAGCCAGTGTTGTCCGAAGACATCTCCGAGGTCATGTGGCCGGCATGACTAAATGCCAAAGGCGCACGGAACACTGTTATCTTCCCACCAAAGGTGGTCCCTATTTTTCTACTTGCATTTTTTACGTGCTTTCAAACTGCTAGGTTGGCAGGTTGGCAGAAGCTGGGACAAGTAACGCAACACTAGGGATTCGAACTGCTGAACTGCCGACCTTTCGATCAATAAGCTCAGTGTCTTAGCCACTGAGCCACCGTGTCCCTTTGAGCTACCACGTCCCTTTGAGCTACCGTGTCCCTTATGAGTCACCGTGTCCCTACATGTATATATATAGACAATAGATATTCATAAAGCTATAACAACAGAATTCAACTTTTTAAAAATGTTAAAATTAGAAATAATTTTAAATTAGAAATATCACATAAAAAATAAGGGCATTTAAATAAATGAATATATCTCTTAGCTCTCAAATTCCTGCTCCTGAGTCTTATAGAAGTCTCTGCTGGTTTCCAGTGAGTCTAACAAAAATGTTTCTTGGATCTTAACAATGGAAGAAAGATGGGAATAGAAAGATGGGGATGGTGTAATAAGGTAAATATGTGTTGCTCTCGTGTCCCTGCAAATTTAATGCCAATCTTCAAAAAGACAGGTACAATTATGTTATCAAGCATTTCATACAACATTATTTCTCTGAAATGTGTTGTTTAGAATATGTAAGCATTTAGAAGAAAACTATATTGCTGAACTACTCCACAGAGATACCAAGGTTTTTATACCCTATTGTTCTGAGGATGTTTTTGTAGCAGGTTTTAATTCTGATGTTGCAAGGAGTAATAGGTGGTCCATATTGTAGCTTATCCACTTGGATTTAAAAAATCCTTCCTACCTTATTTTTTTCCATTCGGATATTTATTTCTTCTTTCTTATATGCATACATGCTTCTTTATGAAAATAGCATAACAGAGAAATAAATTGTGTGTAATAGAATATAAACCCATTATGCTTAGAAAAAAGGAAGGTCATATGAAGCTCAAGATAGTAACAGTCAAGGTCAAAAAAAGAACATTATGTGATAGCATCACATTAATTCACATAAAGGGTTAGGATTAATATTTATCTCTCAATCCTTCAGAAACTTATTATTAAATATATTTTCCAGGATTCATTATATGTCCCACTGCTTCTCCTTTGACCCCATACCATTTCATCTTCAAAGTGACGAAGTTTAACAAGAAATTAAAGACAAAAGTAGCATTAGTGTGAACATTTTAGATGGTCAGTTTTGAAGCTCCATTCAAAACTTTGAAGTTGCAATTTGAGATCCAAGTCTGGATAAATGGTTTCTCCATATTACTTAACTGCAGTAATTTAAATCTTGGACTTCTAATTCCATGGTGTCCCAGAATGAAGAGGGCAGTATTGGTGATCAGATGGTGAATTCTGGAGAACTTGTATGTCAGACCACTGCTTCTCATGAGTAGACTGCGGGAACTGAGGTTTTTATAATGAGCCAAGTGGCTGGGAATTGAAGAATGACTTAATGCAGCCCATATTGACATAATGTTTATCAAGCATTGTTTCTTATCAGTTTTAGAAATTGCTTCTTAACTTCATTTAGCTATTAGAAACTATTGCAACAGCAGGTTTCAGAACACTGGGTGAGTGTTCTTCAATCCTTAGTTAAAAACAGATTTAAATACAAATGTAAGGATTTAAGAAAAAATTATGTAATAATCAACAAAAGTATAAATAAAAGTAATAAAGATGAAATAAAAAAATCTAAAATAAAAATGATTATAAATTGATTTTGATAAGTTACCAACAGATCAAGTGTCCAGATGATCCTTGAAATAAGATTTGAAAGCTAATTCTAAGAATCCTTTCTGTGGGAGAATGCTATTGTTTTGAACAATAGGATAGGATGGAATTTTGAAGACTGGACACTACAGGGAACCAGAAGAAACTAAAATTTACAATTAAAGGAGAAAAACATTGAAAATGTTATTTATTAAAACAGAATGGAGCAAAATACTTTGATCCTGAAGTTTTTTTTTTTTGTTTTTTTTTTTGTAAGCAAGTTTTATTAAAATTTTTCTTTCATTATACATATTTTATGAACAGAGTGTTGACCGGGTCACATCTTATACATCGCTTTTTCTATATTCATCCCTTTTATATAAGTCTTTATCACAAATCCATCATTTTTCATCGAGTCTTGTTATTCATCTCTTTTTTTTCCCCAAAAACATTTTACATATTTCCAATTTTGGCCATAATATTCTTTCCATATTTCTTTATCTTATCTTAATCTCTTCTTAATACATAATACATCAACCATATCACTATCTGCCCTTTAACTCCTAATTTCTTACAAAAACATCAATTAATTGTCTTATTTCTCCATTTGCTAAATATATTTCTCAAAATTCCCCACTTTTCAACTATACACAATATATGTCATCATGTTCAATTCTTACATTAAAACCCTTTAACTTAATTAACTATCCACATCTTATCTTACTCTCTTCTTAATACATAATACATAAACAGTATCTCTATCTGCCCTTGATTCCTAATTTCTTACAATAACATCAATTAATTATCTTATTTCTTCATTTACAGCATATATTTTTGAAAATCCCCATCCCACTTTTTAACATTTCAATTTTGTCTCTTAATTTAACTTGTCTTCATAATTAAACCCAATTACCATTTCATATTTCATCTGCTATTCTCTTTTACTATAAGCAATATACATCATCATATTGACTTGTTACATTAAAATCCTTTAACTTAATTGACCTTCTACAATTAATAATATTAATACAATTCCCTTAAATCTACTAATATATACCTTATTTCCCTTCCTCCTTTCCACTATTCTTCCCCTCTTTAGCCATTTTCTCTTGGTCTCTCCAAAATTCCACTTCTTAGTAATTTCCTCCTTTTATCCCGTTCTTTTGACTTCTTCTTCTTCTTCTTTTCTTTTTATTTTTATTATGTCTTTTCTCCTGAATCCTTTTTCTCACTTTTAAATATATTACTCGAGTAATTCTCCTAGTCTCTTTCCACTCTTTCCTTCTTTTCCCTTTGTTTGATTCTTTTTGGGAGAATATTCCCCTCTATCCATTCTTTTTTTGCCACTGTTAATCCCAGTGAAATCATCTAACTGCTTTTTGCTTTCAATTCCTTTTCTTTCAGTATTATTTTCTTGCTCCTCACTTATACTCTCTTTCTCCTGCTCTGTATGTTCCAGCAAAATTTCTAACTTTTTATTAACCTTTAGTGATTAATGCATATTTTTAAACATCTCAATTAATTCTTCACACATCCAAGACTCCATATTGTCAATTTAAAAAATTGATAACACTTTTACTTTATATTTAATTGAAATTCTAAAGTCCATATAGTCTCTTTTTAATTCCAAATAGTATCCAATTGAAATATTTATCCAATCCACTCCAAATCAAAGCTTTGTTATGTTTCCACAATTGTTCACAGTAGAAACCAAGCAGTTCAGAAAAACAGATACTCCTTAAAAATTCTCACAGTTTCCAGATTAAATTACGGTCACAGCTGTTGTTTTTTCTTCTGTCTTCCCACCAATATTGCAGTACTCACTTTCCACCAGCAGATGTCTCTCTCAAATCCACAATATTTTCAGAGCAACTAAATATCCAAGCTGTCAAAAATATTTTAAATTCACATAAAGGGTTCTTTTCCTCGGGTTTCTTTTTCTTTTGTTGTTTTTAATCTCTCCAAATCTAATTTTAAATCCAGTTTTAAAATTTTATTTTGTGGGCTTTAGTATTTTAATCTCCTCTTT